CTTCCAGTGAAGTAGTCATCATAAATGTTGAAACCCAGGGAGATGTTGCGCAAAACCTGAGTATTTTCATTGATCTCCTTCACAGCAAATACAAGAGCCAGGACATGCTGGTAGGTCTGAGTCAGAAATCTGCAATGAGATTTACCTGCACCATTGAATTGTCTCTAGTTCAGAAGTTTAAGGCTTGCTAAATTCCCATTTCCTTAATATTTAGACATTGTATTTTGTAATATTACTGGATCATGAGATATCTGGGCAGCTGTGATTCAACCCAGCGTAAGGTTCTCAAATATTTCCAACTGAAAAGATGGGATCCACCAAAACTGGCTTTGTGGTGGCAGATGATCCATGGACTTTCCAAAGGACCGTGCCAAAATGGTACTTTTTTTTCAAAAATCCTGTACTACAATGCATCCATTTAAGTGGAGTGAATTTAAATCTCTATCTAACTATCTCTGTCAACTGGCTTTGTGGTGGCAGATGATCCATGGACTTTCCAAAGGACCGTGCCAAAATGGTACTTTTTTTTCAAAAATCCTGTACTACAATGCATCCATTTCAGTGGAGTGAATTTAAATCTCTATCTAACTATCTCTGTCTGGATGTTGATTCCAAAAAATCCATCCCAGTGTTAACATTCATCTCTAAAAAGGAGAATATGTCTGACATAAAATGGCATGTGACTTTTGGTACATATGGAAAGAGTTCCACCAATTGCATAATTTAGCAGGAAATATGGTGTAGCCATAGACTGCATGTCCTACTAACAGAGATAGGATTTAGATTAGTTGAACATCCTATCTTTGGCACATGAGCTTCCCATTGCCTTATCTCTAACCATCCCCCCAAGAATGCTACTAAGTTGCAAGATCATCTTCTTCCTCACACAAGATTCAAATCCCACCATGATATTGATAGGGATTGTTTTACTGACTTATGTCTTTGACAGCTTTCAGGTGTCTTTCATTTCACAGTTCATAATGAAAGATGGGTGCTTAGCATCAACCTTACTTAGATGTACCAGGAAAGTGAAATGAACAGTTCTCTTAATATTGATGGCAAGTTACAGAAGAAATACAATGAGAATGATAATAATGCATTACAAAGAGGGGTGGAGGGTGGAATCAGTCCCAGCCAATTCCATCCATTGAAAATTTAGCTGAACACCTTGCTTGAGAATATCACCTAAAGGGGTGTGTAATGTGATCAGAGTTGTCTGCAGTCCTTTTCACTGGATGAAAATTCTGACCCATGAAAGACGAAAGGATAGTATGTCCCTTAGTTTTCACTTTGATTCAAAAGTCATGGTTACTCTTGCTGCCCAAATCTAAGGAGAGACCCATCCCCTTAAACATTTGGTTTCAGATATCAATTGCTTACATGAGCTCGTCAAGGAGTTCAAAAGAGGGATGCTTTTCAAAGTTGAGAGGGTTGGAAAACATGTAGCTCTGCGAAGTAATGCCAGCTACAATGACATCCTCTGACTGGTAATACTTGTGCTTTATTTGCCGAGGGTCACCGATCATGCATTTAGCAAATGGAATATCACACGGAGCCCAAGGAAGCAGCATGAGAATCAAGAGAATAAAATTCATCATCTTGCATTCACATGTCCTTAATGTCAAGTCACCTGTTCTTTTCCGGTCATTCAAGTGTTGTGGTATTCTTGCTGTGCTATTCTTGCATGGCCAGCAGTATCAACTTCATTAATAGGTCCAGGGATCCCAGTTGCTTCAGAATCCCTACTCTGAAAGTTCCAGCACAGATTAAGAATGCTTTTTTAATTTTGATTCACTATTTTGTTAGTTACTCCAAGAAAATCCCTTGTCACCAGGAGGAGTTGTCCAAGTAATCAGCATCAATTGGATAATTATGGGAAATTTAAACACCTACTTATAACTTGATGTTCATGTAGCAGAAGAAAACATTTTTTCCCCTATAGATTCTGCAAAGTTTTTCTCTTTTCCTAAAAAGTTTCAGAAGAATGCAACTTTCTACAAGCAAGAGACCAGTGCAGGGGTATGTCCACGTGCAGTCAAAACAGACAAGAGGATGAAAGTGGTGTTGCGATGAAAGCCCGTCCCCTTTTGGGGCTGACTTTGCATTGTCATATTTGCCATCTATATTTTTTATTTCAGTACAGTTTGTGGGGTTCCGATCCACTTTTGGGTCACTAAACTTCAGTTCAGAATTTTTCCATATTGTTTTCATCAGCTCTGTTAAAATATGATTTCACTGATATTTTTGACATGAATTCATCCATCCTCACAAAAGGGTTGCAGTGTTTATTAATTTAGAAATGGAAACAATAATTTAGATGTGGAAAAATAAAAGACCTGCTTTCCTATTGACCTTTCTTTCAGCACTTGAATGGGATGTCTGTAACATTCCAACCCCACCCTGGGGGATGGTAGCGATAATACTTTTGTGGTCTTAAGTATTCTGAGGACACTTCAACTCAGAGGGGACATTAGTGTACCTTATATTAATCCACACAGAAGGCATGCATTTGACTAGAAATCCTAAATAGGGCTCTTTTCCTCAATCACTAAGTGCTTCGAGATCAAGAAACCCTATTGTCATAAAGTTACAAATGGTTCTTGCTTCCCTGTTCTTCAGTTCTGCTAAAATGATAAATAGGTAACTGATAAACATGAATCCCCCATGTCCATACTAGAATGAAGGCTGCAGACGGCAGAAATAGATTGAATAGGTCCAACCCTCAGCTCTTTGATTTTGACATAGAACTTCAAACAGGGTTGCTAAGTGGCAGATATGCTCCATCCATTGCCCTCTCTCTAATTTTTATGACATGCAATATTCTAAGGATGGGATTTTATACAATAGTATGGCTGACTTAATTACTTTAAGGCTTTTAACCATTTCAGATCTTCAGATAGCTTTCTGGTCAAGCCTCGTCAGCTGGGCTAGATCAAATCCATAAGAACTGCCTGGTGTCTTTAATGGTAATCTGGGATAAATACAGAATCCTGAAAACTGTCAGAGGAATTTCCCAGCCTCCTTCATACTGAGGCAGAAGCTCAGAATGAACTGAAACATTTCTTCCTAGGTTTCTTTCCACCTGAGCACGTTGCCATTCATGAGATAAGCTGTCAACTGATTGGCCTGCTAGCTCTTGATGGTTTACACCTACTCTCTCCCTCTCATGCCTTTCCCAGGCTTCTTATAGTCTCTCATACTGGTAAGGGGACATCCTGTCCTTGAGAAGTTGTTGGAGAACCTGTTGAATCATCCTTTCATCTTTTTTCCTAGCCGTTTGGTAGAGAATTCCGCAAAGCAGCTATGCATTGCCTGCTTACTTTTCTAAATTGAAGCACAACCCTAAAACAGTTCAAGAAGAGATTGAGGTGGTGCCACACTGAATTGAAGACACTTACTGACATCAGTGGGACACAAGCTAATTGAATGTTTGCCGCTTCCCTTGTAATAGAAATCTTCAGATCTTACCTAGCATCTCACTGGGCTTCCATATCCATAATATCAATTTAGTTGCCAGATGGTTTTATCTCTTCATCAGCAGAACTTTATCTATAGGACACTTTCATCCCTAACCCTGAGTGTAGAAAACCCAGCAAAAGAGGAAGGTGATGCTAAAGTAGCACTGTAATCCTGATTAAATTTAAGAAATCTAGTTTCCACCAATACTGTGCTTATTTTTTCACCATGCACATATACTGCTTCGTACACTGCATTTTCTTCTTTCAGCTTCTCACTTCTATCCTTCTGAGAATTTCAGCTCTATCCAAGCAACTGGCTTTTCTCCCAGTTGCTCAAATAGGGCGAGATTAGAGCCTGAGGGCTGTAGGATGCAATGGCTTAGTGATTCTGGGTCAGGAGCCTGGGTTTGTTGATGTCCTTGTTTCTGGTTTTATTCTTGTTGGGAGCCAGCCAGACTTGTGTTCTACAAGATGGGTGGCCATAAATGTCTTTTAAATAAAACAAAATAAAACAGAACAAAAAATAAATATATTTTTACTCCACGTGTGCTCATGCTGTTCTTTAAAAGCTAGGTTTCTGATCTAGAGTTTACTTCACAGGCCAATATATATGCAACCATATCCCATTCACAAGAAGTTATATGTAATGTAATGACTCATTCAAGATATATAGCGTAGACACACCTCCAATTATGAAATAAAAATAGCTACAAAAATATGAAGCTTCCCAGAGTGCTATGATTGGAACAGCAGAGATATCATGTAAGATAATATAAATAAATAAGCAAACATTTGACTGGTTCGTTTTATGCATTAATGACCTGTATTTCTTTGAATCTTCACAATATCTGGTTAAAGTATTACCATGTTATTTAAAAATATGTACAGTAACTTGAATGTACTTTTGTTAGTTTGTAAAACATACCAACAATTATCACAAATTTGGATCCTAAAAATGGGGAAAATACTAAAGCAGAAGTTACAAATCAAATCCATCATGATAACATTAGTATCAGATAGGGGTGTGTATTTTCAACCCAGTTGAATAGGACATGATGGAAGACATGCCTTACTGATCTGGGGAATTTTCTTTTACTCAAAGAAAAAGCTAAAATTTACAAAGATATCTGAACAGATGTTTGGCAGCTCTTACAGAGAGTAGAATTCAACTGGCCTGTCAAGAATTTACACAGCATTCAGCAATATCAGTGAGGACTTTTGACCACCTTTCTCATTACAATTTACAGTCAGATTAACTCATCTAGTCATTTTGCCTCCCAGTCTAGACTAAAACACAGATTATGTTGTGATAGTCTCCCATCCAAGTATTAAACAGGTCTTCCTCTGCTTAGTATTTTTTCTTAGAGAAGATTAGTACTCCTCTACTATGTGTGTCCCAGTATGGAATGCTGATGTTTCTTCCCTATATGAGATCTGAAGGAGAAGAGAAAATTCTGGTTTCTCAGCAATACCATCAAGCCTGTGCAACAGCTTCTCAGTAGAAATCCAGGAGCCACTCTGAATATTTGGGAAATCCTTAGAAACAGATCTGTTCAGAACAGCTATATAAATTAACTAAACAAATAAGTGTAGGGATGCACTTAAACTAAAAACAACAGTGTACTTGTGACTACTTTAAACCATACAATGGGATTAATACCTAAAGCCTAGTTTACCAGGGCTGAGACTGTACAGTTTTCAGGTCATTAATTCCTTCTTCTCATCAGGAGCTGCCTGTCATTCAGCTCAGGCCTGAGCAAAATGATATAACATTTGGGAGGGAAAATGCAGCCTAGTAAACCAGCACTAGAAGCCAAGATGGAGAAGACCTCCACAGCGACCACATATTTCCCCTTGGTGC